CGTTCCCCGTCTGGCAAATGGAGGCAGAAGAGGGCAAGATGACGCTGTACATCTGGGCCAGCGGGAGTCGTGGCACCGCCTCCCTTCCCGGCTCCTTGTTGGCACTTCCCTGCTCCGTCGGCAAAGCCCAAGCCCAGCAGCCGCAGTGCAACCTGCCTTCAGCCCTCCCGCCTGGAGAGGGACTCGGCTACCGGCCTGGGGTGATGCCTGCTGGTGTTCCCAGCTGCTCTACGCCAGGGAGCCGGCCGGCTTTCCTCACTCTGCGGGAGGCCCGTCTGCCAGCGAGCCCACTCCATGCTGTCTGCATGGGCCCCCTCCCACCCAGTCCTCACGACAGCACAGCCTTGTTGTGGGGGGACAGAACGGGCCTCCCTCCCTGGAGGCAGAGCCATCCAGGCGTACAGACCCACCTTGCGCAGGTTAAACTAAGTGACTGCATTGCAACACAGCGAGCAGTCCTGCGGCACCTCAGAGACTAACAAACAGACACGATCAGACCCACCTCCCCAGATGGGTTGGAGTGGAAATGACAGAATCCACGAGATATGCAACAGCAAAGCAGTTACCTGCCAATGGTAGGACCCGTGTTAATGAAGCTAAGCAAGTGGACTGACTGCGTCCCATTCGTAGCTTGTGATGTGAAAATGTGAATGTCCAAGGGAGGGGAAATGGCTTTGTAGTGCGTTAACTAGCTAAGGGTCTGTCTACACTAGCCCCCTAGCTCGAACTAGGGTGGTCAATGTAGGCAACCGAAGTTGCAAATGAAGCCCGGGATTTGAATTTCCCAGGCTTCATTTGCATCTTGCCGGGTGCCGCCATTTTTAAATCCCCGTTAGTGCAGACTCCGTGCCCGCAGCTACACGCAGCACGGAGTAGGTAGTTCGAATTAGACTTTCGAGGAGTAACGGTAGTTCGAATTAGAGAGCCTAATTCAAACTACCTAGTCCATGCCGCGTGTAGCCGAGGAAATTCAAATCCCAGGCTTCATTTGCAATTTTGGTTGCCTACATTAACCACCCTAGTTCGAACTAGGGGGCTAGTGTAGACAGACCCTAAGGTGCCCAGGACCCCTTGTTTTCATTCAGCAGGGCCCCTTGTTCCCCCATGGCACCAGCCCAGCTCGTGGCTCTTATGGGCTACTCAAGCCCCCCTTGGTGCTGAGCAAAGCGCCCCCCTCCTGCTTGCAGCAGAGACCCAAGGGGTCCAGGAGAGGCTGGGCAATCTCCTAGCTCCGTCTCCCTCCCTCTGCTGCACAGAGCCGTCCCCTTCCACCTCCCCACGCAAGGGCCAGCAAGACCCCCCCCCCCCCAGCCATGCGGCCTGGCCTAGGCGCGTCAGGCACCGCCCGCCTGCGTCCTTCCTGCGCGCTCTCTTCAGAAGGGCTCAGCTCCGCAGCTGGGGCTGCCCACTCCAGGAAATCTCTGCTCCCTAGCTCCGCCCACGCCGCTGGGTCGGAGAGGAGCCCGCCAGAGCCCTGAGCTGGGCCTGTGCCATGGGGGAAGAAGGGTCCCTGTTGAAATGAAAACTTGTGTCCCCTCCGGCTCTCCCTTGGCGCTGCAGCCCCCCAGGCCTCGCTGCCTTCGCCCCGGCCAGGAGGGCGAGGGGCCGAGGCGCGGCCGCGCACGCCGCACTAGCAGCTCACAGTGGGGGCTCTCCTTGGCGCCGGCCTGCAGCAGCACCCTGGCGATGGGGGCGTTGTTGGTCATGATGGCGACGTCCAGCGGCAGCAGCCCCTCGCTGTTCGGGGTGTTCAGGTCCAGCTCCTCGGGGCTGTACTGTCTCAGCAGCTCCTGCACCCGCTCCAGATCCTGCAGCTCCACAGCCTCGAAGAGCACCGCGTTGCTCTGGAACTGCCAGGCACGGGAAAGGGGCCACTCAGCCCGGGGCAGCCCCGCCCCGAGCCGCTCTCGTCCCCAGGGCTGGCGCGGGGGCCGGGCCAAGCACCACCAGGAGGGCCCATCCCTGGCACCGCGGCGCCCCGGCACAGGGCTCGTTCTCCTGGGCTGCTCCGTGCCACACTGACTGCCGGCGGGCGCAGCAGGCCCTGCTCACTAGCCCCGCGCTTTGTGTGGCCACGGCCTCCAGGCGCTGACAGAGCCGCGGACGGCCCTGCCCCGGGCAGCGGGCAGCAGGCAGCAGGCAGCCCTCGCCGCTGCGCTCAGAGACAGGAGCACTCAGGGCAGGGTTCAGCTGAGTTACTTCTGCGCCAGGAGGGACAGAATCTATGGCCCCCCCCCAGGCCTCCAGCCAGCTCTGTGCCGGGGCTGCATGCACTAGGGCAGGGGACGGCCCAAGCCCCGCGCGCCTCCGTCCCCAATGGGGTCACATGGGGCGGGCCCACAGGCCGGCGTGGGGGTCGCTGCGCACAGCCGCGACTCAGCGCACTCACCAGGCAGGCCTTGCGCAGCTTCTCCTTCTCGCTCCTCCCGGGCAGGCCGCCCTCGTCGAAGGACATGTAGTTCACGCGGAACTTCCCCGAGAGGTTGCGGTAAAGCCTCTTGGCCGCATTCGGGGAGGAGGGGCCCGGCGGCTTCCTGGCCTGGGCCAGCTGGAGGTCCCGCATCGGCTGCGTCATCTTAGGCGAGGAAGACCTGGCAAACGGAGGCAGAAGAGGGCACAATGACGACGTACAATGGGGGGGGACTGGTGTGTAAATGCTGCCGGGCGCGTCGGTGGCCCCCTCAGCACAGCTCCTGGGTGGCTCATCCGCACCCACGCACCTCCCCTCACAACACGGTGGGGCGGGACCCGCCTCCTCCCTCCAATGGGATGCAGGCAGACCCCTCAAGGCCCCACGACTGGACCACAAGCCCATCCTTAGTACAGGGGGGAGGGGCATTGGCCTCAATCTTCCCCCATCGTCTTCGAGGAGAGGAGACGTTAGCCCGGTGCCGCGGACGAAACGGGGCCGAGCGAGCTCTGGACGTGGCCCTGCGTCAGTGATTTCTGCAGGCGAGCGGGCGCAGGGTCTGGTGGGTCAAGGACTGAGACTCCCGAGTGCTGGGAAACCCAAGTGCCAGGTGCTGCACAAACACAGAGAGGGCCCGAGCCGGAGGCGCCGCAGTGGACACGGCAGCACGCTGGCGGGCCTGGGGAAGTTAGCCCCCCCCAGCGCCTCCCAGAGCTCCCAATCGAGGTAGAACGTCTACATTAGGGGAGCCTGTCGGACTCATTTCAAGGCTTCCCTGCAGCGCAGACATGCTATTTTGGAAACACTATTCCAGAATAGCGCAATGCGAAATAGGCGTGCAGTGTAGACGCACCCTTAGAACTGAAGTACTGTGGGGGTCTGTGCACACTACCCCCTAGTTCGAACTAGGGTGGTTAATGTCGGCAACCGGAGTTGCAAACGAAGCCTGGGATTTGAATTTCCCGGGCTTCATTTGCATCTCGCCGGGCGCTGCCATTTTTAAATGTCCGCTAGTGCAGACTACATGCCGCGCGGCTACACGCGGCACGGACTAGGTAGTTCGGACTAGGCTTCCTATTCCAAACTACCTGTACTCCTCGTGGAACGAGGTGGAATGAGGAGTAATGGTAGTTTGGAATAGGAAGCCTAATCCAAACTATCTAGTTCGTGCCGCGTGCAGCCGCGGGCACGGAGTCCGCACTAGCGGACATTTAAAAATGGCGGCACCCGGCAACATGCAAATGAAGCCCGGGAAATTCAAATCCCAGGCTTCGTTTGCAACTCCGGTTGCCGACATTAACCACCCTAGTTTGAACTAGGGGGGTAGTGTAGACAGACCCTCACAGTGTAACCTGCCAGCACAGGATTTCTTTTTCTAACTCCGTGGGTATGTCATGAAGACAACCTAGCCAAACACCAATTTTTGCAGAGACCGGTACAGTGTTAGTCACGCTCTAAGTCATCACCTAGATGCCATCTCACCAGAGTAAAAACCTCTTTCCTCCCCTCTAACATGCGATTAACAGTTTACCACGTGCCTGTGTTCACAGATCCTTTTCATCTCGCCGCGGGACTGAGGCGGAGGCACATTTAGTGTCGCTGCATGGGGCAGAATGTACGTCATTCTTAGCCTCACTCTCTGGGGTATGAACCGTGGGATGTCCGTGCTGATCTGCATTGATTCTCTGCGTGGGTCACCTTATTGATTAAGAATCCAACAGGCGAATGCCATAAAGACCATGGGACGTGTCTAGGAGGCTACACCGAGCTCACGCTCTGCAGCTGGTGACTCAGAAAGCTGAGTGGTCAGAGTGTTCATGAAGCCATTATCATAAAGAAGGGTATGAACAGCAGCCGTGCCGCATTCGTTTGATCATTCTGGTTTTAGATTAGACTCTGGGCTGCAGCATTGCTTCAACTACTGTACCTTGGATTACTGTGCTATTTGTAACCTGCCAGTGTGCGCGCGTGTCTGTGCATGTGCATGTGCGTGCACATGTCTGTACAGGCGTATATGTCTGTGTATGTGCACATGTGTGTGCGTGTCTGTGCATGTGCACGTGTGTGTCTGTGCATGTGTGCGCACGTGTCAGTGCATGTGCACATGCCTGTGAATGTGCACGCGTGTGTGCGCAGGCACGGACTGAGCTGGACCCTGGGGCGTCTCACAGCTCTGTGGGTGAGCGTGTGCACTCGGCAGCATGGCAGGGCAGTGATGTAAATCAGTTACCGGTGGGTCACCCCGACCTGCACTGGTGAACAGCCTGGGCCCTTTCAGAGGAAGCCGGCAGTTACCAGCGCCTCAGAATGCACCTGCCTACGATCTTTGAACTTCATCCCCCCTCTCTCTTCAACACCGGTTCCCTCCAAGCCAAGCAAGTCCAACGTGGCCTCTGCCTGTTCCCCGCTTGTGCGCCTGGCGCCCTGTGGGCGCGGCCTGGTGAGCAGCAGGAGCAGCTGTTGGAACGACAGGCTTTGATCCGCTCTCAGTGGCATCGGCGGAGTCCGCTTCGGGCAGGGCTGTCCTACGCTGCGGGCAGATGGGAGCCCAGGGGAGCGAACCGCGCGTGTTCCGCGCCAGGCCAGGAGCCAGAGGGATTCATGCGGAAGAGACCCGGCAGAACCGGCCGACTGGCAACCTGCAGTTAGAGCTTGGGCCTTATTTTCCGAGCAGCGGAGCCGCCGGAGCTCCAGCTGATGCTACGGGGAGCTGCAGGTACTCGGCCCTCGATGGCTCCAGGCTGTCTCTGCCCACGTTGCCCACGCCCCTATGGCCAGCCCCAGCTGCCTCCCATCTCTGCCAGCAAGGCCTGGGTGTGAGTGGGGCTGGTGTGAAAGAGGCTCCGCAGGGACGGCTGGAGGCCGCCAGAAGATGCAAGGAAAGACTGAAGCAGTTCAATGAACTTGCTTGGCCCGCTCCTGCCCTCCACCCCCTCTGCTTAGACACCAGCTTGGAAACGATTAGCTCATCGCAGCGCCTGCTGGTGCTGGCAAGCGCGGGCAGATTCCAGCCCGTGTGGCAGACGTGAGCTCAACGCCGCCCCTCCTGCCCGCAGCACCAGGGCGGGCGGCGCGCTATTCCGAGAAGCTGCTCTTACGCAGCACAAGAGCAGCTGCGGGATCCGGGCAGCCCCAGAAAGCGAAGGAGCAGGGCATTAGCTAGAGGCGCTGGAACTAGGGGTGAGGGTCTGCAGCACCCCACGGGTGAGCCAGGGCTCTGCCGGTACCTGGGTGCCAGCTGCGCTTCCCGGCCTGCGGTCCCATTTTCTCCAGCATTCACTACGTGGGGCAGCCAATCACCACCAACCTTCCTGGGAAAAACCGAAGCAAAGAAGCCGTCCTGCTCCGCGGCCATTTCCAAGCGTTCGGTTGTTGTGTTTCTCTCACACTGAGCAATGGGCCTGGCCTGTCCTTAGTCCTCTGTACTCGTAGAATGTCTTCGCGTTCCCTGGCAGGTCTCTCGCTAGACTGAGATGGTTTGGGGCCTTCGCCCTTCTCGTTTTGCCCCTACAGGCTTGTGTTACTTTCTTCAATATTCACCCTTTGTAACTTGACCTAGTTCCACTTCTTAGGAGAGTCCTTTTGGGTTTTTACATCAGTCAAGCCCAGGCGATCCTTTCCCCGACCTCGCACCTTTGCTCTGCAGTGGAATAGTTTGCTCTTGCACCCTTAACAATGTCCCTTTGAAAAACTGCCAACTGCCTTCAATCCTGCGCTTTGGATGAGTTTGTGAGTTGTTTTAAAAAAGCCTCATTCACCTCTTCTGCCTGGGGAAGGGGTCTGCACTAGACCCCAGCACAACATCACCTTCAGTTTTTCACCCTTTTAACCTTACCCAGAGACTCTCAACACATCTGTGTTCTACGCCCTTCTCAACCTCAGCCAACTGTGTACGCTGAACGTACAAGGCAACACCCCCTCCGCGTCCTGAGCGAGCTGGACGCTTGCTCAGCTACTATTCCAGTCGTGTGCTTATCCCACCGGGTCTCTGCAACACACCGATGTCTCAGCTGTGTTTCTTTATTAGCACTTGAAGTTCTTCCTGCTTATTCCCCGTGCTCCTCGCATGAGTGTTCAGGAGACCAAGATAGGGGATGGATTCTGCCCCCTGGACTGCTGACACCAATGAGGTCAGCTCTGGGCGGCTGGAAATCTCGCCCTGGACATGTGTCAGCACCCGGCCTGATTGTCAGAACCTGCCAACACTGGGACACGTGACATTGTATGTACAGCTCCCCCACTTGCCACGTGCCAACACCCGCCCACGCCAGCGGCAGCTTCTAACACTAGGACACACTGGTGCTGGAATTCCAGCAGGGGCAACCCACTGTCGTGCATCGAAAACAGCACGTACCTGTGGGACCTGGGGCGGAGGCACCACTAGAAACCAGGCCCAGGGATTCAGACTGGTTCCCCTGTTCCCTCCTGGCACCCCAGTCTGGAGCGGAACCACGCAGGCCTGCCCTGCTGAGCAACCACAGCAACTGGACCTGGCGGACGCGCTCACGCGGCGCATCTGGGCCAGCTCTCAGTGGGGGAGCCTTGGAGGGGTGCTGGGGGCATGGCGCCCTTGGGCTGGGGACTGCAGAGTCCCTGCTTTGAGGGCTCGGAGGCCGGGAGGGAGCAGAGCTGGAACGCCAGACCCACGCTCACGCAAGCTAGCAGCAGTCTCGCTTCTCAGACACAGGCCTGTCACGTCTGGGTGCTCCGAGGTTGTCGCGAGAGCTCTCAGTGGGGGAGCCTTGGAGGGGTGCTGGGGGCATGGCGCCCTTGGGCTGGGGACTGCAGAGTCCCTGCTTTGAGGGCTCGGAGGCCGGGAGGGAGCAGAGCTGGAACGCCAGACCCACGCTCACGCAAGCTAGCAGCAGTCTCGCTTCTCAGACACAGGCCTGTCACGTCTGGGTGCTCCGAGGTTGTCGCGAGTCAGCGCCCTGCCTGCAGCCGGGGGCACCGGATAGCCCGGAGCACAGGAGGTGCTCCCACACCACACCTGCTGGAGAAGCCTGTTCCCGGGGAGCCAGGGGCTCCCCCACCCAGCAGCACAGCAGCTCTGGCGGGGAGGCCGGCACGTGGCCTCTCCACCGTGGCCCAGCCGTGAAGCTAGGATCCCCCGGGGGGCACGGCTGAGCCAGGCTCCTGCGGTGGGAGCGTGCAGCTCACTTCCTTTCGCCTTGTCTTCGTGTTTCACTCCTGGAGCTGCGGTTCCCTGCCCGGCCAGAGACGCTCCCGCTAAATGTGGTGGCCTCAAAGTCCCCGCTGCAACCCGGCTCGCGGCACCAGGCTGGCTGCAAACCGGGCACCCAGGGACACGCCTTCCAGC